TCTTTTCATTCTCTTTAGACCATCGATAAATAATATCGATATTATCTTTATCCACCATGCCTTTCGTACCACCCAAGCCGCTCAATAAGCAGAATCAAGGCACTGCTCCAGTTGACAACCAAAATTATCGTGGGTGGCCCTTGGCAAAAATAACCTTTGGAATATCAAAAAAGAAACAAGATGATTTAAATACGAACGCCATTAGTCATTCGTTCGCAAGTCAATCTATCTCTACCGCCTCAACGAATACGACTACGAATAAGACAACGAATAAGGCATTGAGTGAAAAGAAATCTGAACCAAAATTTATTTCTAAAAATAAATCAGGTGACTTAGATCGTGATAGTGCCATTCAACAAGTTAAAGATATATTATCTACCTCTCCTCAAATATCATCGTCCCCAAGAAGGAGATCAGCACCTGAATCATATACAAAAAAACCAACTCTCTCATCTCTCAAAGTCGATTTACTTACTCCAATTTCATCTGAAATTCCTTATTTACCAAGAAAAAAAAGTGGTGAAGTAGTAAAATCATCACTTAAAAAGGGTAAATCTGAACCAACGACCCCCACTTTCCCAAAATACGTACATTTTAATACCGATTTAGAACAAATCAAATTATTCAGGGGAGCCCAAAAGCCACGTGCAGTTAGTGCTGAAGTATCTTCGGATGAATCCGATGACGAAGATTTTGACCTTTCAATGTCAGACTTGGACAGCGACAATGAAGACGATGATAATAATAATAATAAGGACGATGAACTCTCAATAACACTTCCAAATATGCCCTTAATAACTACAGCTCATAGATCAAAACCAGTATTTGTGGATGCGATCTATTTGTCTCCAGATAAACGAAAACTTAAAGGTCGTATTCAAGTTCAAAATATAGCATTCCAAAAGAGTGTTGAGGTTAGGTATACATTTGATTTTTGGCAATCGGTGTCGGAAGTATCAGCCTCTTATGCTGAAGGTGTCCCAGATAAAGATAAAGATAACAAGAATAGTTTTGATCTGTTCGTCTTTGCCATAGACCTAATCGATAATTCAAGGAATCAAATTGATGGCAAAACAATGTATTTCGCGGTTCATTATAAAGTTGATGATCGTGATTATTGGGATAACAATAGCGGATCAAACTATCAAGTAAACTTTAGGAGAAAGGAGATTTCGTCATCACAATTAGTATCATCTGACAAATACAATAAATCGAAATCACCACCTTCAACTTCCTCTAAATGGTCAACTCCGACTAATCGTGCAAGGAATTTCGAAGAATCACCACCTGTTCGTTCCCCACCTATCATGAATTCATCATCAACTTCATTAGCCATAAAAAAATCTATGGGTGGCCGTTATGACATTGGTCTCTCGTTGATAGCAGCTCAAAGTGTTAGTTCTATCAGACCCAATCCTATCAACACTAATCATACTTTTCAACAACAATCTTATTATTGCAATGAGAGCTTTTCAGCATTTTTCCCTGGTAATTGTATTGATGGTATGCCAGTAACAAAAGGACCAACAGATAGGGCATCATGGGAAAAAAACTCACCTAATGGAATTGGACTTGGTTTCGAAAAGTTGAACACCGCTTCAAATCCAATCGCTATACCTTCAGCAAGACCTGCAATTGGATCAAGCTCTTATTGTGAACTTGTAAAACAATATTGTTTCTATAGTGGTTCACCACCAGTAATGACATAAAAAAGCTCAAATTGTAAATGTCTCAAAGATTTTTTTATGCTTGAATGCAGAGGAAATGATAGTTTGTATTTCGAATTTTTTTTTGTACCTTAATTTGCCTGTAATGTCTTCACTAGAAGTTACTTTATTATAAATTTTTAATATGAATGGCAAGTAAAGGGAAATTCGTACAGCATCATTTTAAAGCATTCTTCATTATATTAGGAAAAAAAAAAAAAAAAAAAAAAAAAAAACAATCGTGCATTCAATTATATAATTATTATCAATTCATGTAGCTATATAAAAACAAAATTATCTATTTCTATTTTTTTATTTTATTTTGACGTAAGAAAAGGAATGTTTTTATGATCAGGGTTTTGGGACGACGAAAG